CGCTCAATCAGTTTGTCCAACATGGCAGACCACGGCCACCGGTTCTTAATCTCCTGTTCTATAAGGTTCATTTGCGACATGAAGAGAACGCAGTCATTCCGTACGTGGTACTGTCATTCAATCCTCATTGCCAATAAAAGCCCGCGATGTTGCATGCAGCTCAACCGTCGTTCTAACTTCTTCGCAACTATTTCTATGCCGCACAACATCGCTGTCCTGACAAAGACAAGGTACAGGAAGATTTTCGTCAAGTGGGCTATCTCTTTCGCAGCCCATATATTTGACAGATTAATAAAAGCACAAAATGAGGGGTTTGAAGGGGGAGGACATTTCTCCTGTTTTATTTTGACTGAATAGTGCCATCGCTGGAGATGACTGAGCTGAGATACTTAAGCTGCTCGACTTCCTCTATAGATTTCAGTCTCTGTGCCGCTTGTAGGTCAGCCATGGTTGGGTTCCTCACAACTTCCAACTTTAGGGCGTTGAAGCAAAGGCCTACTTTCGCATCTGTATTAGAAATGGAAACTATCAGGTGACAGATCCTGTTTCATCTACTTCTGAACATCGCATGCGAACAAGAGAAGCATAGTAAATATATTACCTTCCATAGTGATAATCCGTCAATACTCATATAACTGAATGTGGCTTGCAGTTCAGTATGAATCTGAGATACCTTCCTTTTACCGTTCTCGCTAAGACTCTCACTAATTCTAAGCCTCTCTATGCCTTCTGCGAGTTTCAGTTCTATCGTGGCTTGGGTTTAAGCTGAATGCGGTTTAAAAACGACAGGTTGGTGATTTTAAGTGAAGAGCGAATCAGTTTAATTTGATGCCGGTATTAATGAAACTGCGAAGTATCTTTATTCCAGCCGGTACTGATTGATTATCATTGTGACGAATAATTATTTATACAACGTTAAAGCTGAAGCTTTAGACCTGTTTGAAATAAACCATTTTATCTCACTGTGTTTGTGAGAATTTTGGTAATAAATGTCACCTTGGTCCGGCGGATAAACCTCAATTTTGCCCTGCTATCCACTGACGACGTTTTTAGTCGGCTGATGCCAAAATGATCCATTCTAACGAACGACTCCTCAAAAACAATGTTTCATTGATATCGCACTGCCTCTTTGCTCTTGGTTGTATAGTACGGGGCATTTAAACAGGCCACGGCTATTCTGAAATTTTGCATACACTGGGTGGTCTTTGCTATACAACAAAGGATATCTCTATCGAGTGGTGCGTTAGACAATTTTTTCAGGCAAGGTTTTTATCATTTAGATCTTCTTGGCTAGTTTTAGTGA